ATGTGGTAATTGGTGCATTCGGTCTTTATCTGGTGGCATAAATTTTTATATCGGTTTTTGAAATTAGCAACGTGACCAGATTTGTTTTTCCGCCAGAGTGATCTCTTTTTGGATTGAAGTTTCCTTATTGATATGGGTAATCTGCTTTTTTGTTTTGTTTTTGGAGTTGTTGTTGGAACATATAGTTTGATGACTCTTTTGACTTCAAGTAAAAATATGTTGTAATGATCTTCAACAGTATTGCATCCAGTGAATAGAGATTGCCAATCGAGGGATGAGAGATCGTTATCTATAAGATCATAATTGCCTTTTTTGAAGTTACAACTAGGGATGACATCGTTGTGGTGATTTTTGCGTGGACGTATGTTGAGACAAAAGTCAATCATATTGTGATCACTACTGGAAAAGGGTTCTTTGGTTTGTATTCGGTAAATTAAATTCAAACTATTGCAGAAGATGAGATCGAGGCAGTTGTTCAGTCTAGTGTTGTTGGTTACTAGTTGTTCAAGACCTAGATTTGTAATAGCATTGAAGAAGGTTGTGTGTATGATTTCAGTTGTACAATTATTTAGGGTCCAGTCAATATGAGGTAGATTGAAATCTCCAAGGAAGATAAAAGGGTATGGGCAGGATGTAGCCCATGTTAGTAGTGTATTTAGCTTGTTTATATGTTCGATGTCATAATCAGGTGCTCTGTAACATAGTAAGAATCGAATTGTGATATTTAAGGATAGTTCACAGATGATGGTTTCAGGAAGGACAAGCTCCTGGGTAACTTGGATATTTTTTAGATGTAAGGATTTTTTGTAGAATATAGCAACACCACCTCCTCGACGATTTTCACGATCTGATCGGTAAACATGATAGTCTCTTACTGTGGTAATGGAGTCGGGGAGAGATGCATTGAGCCATGTTTCACAGACAAATATAATGTCGAAGTTAGCCATATTTAAGAGGATGAGAAATTCAGGTATTTTATTCACGAGGCTTCTTGCATTGAGTAGTTTGCATTTAAGTCCGGCAGCAGTTGGGATTGAGGTAGTTGGGGGCGTGCGTGCCTAGTCTTGGGTGGTGGTGGGTGGTGGGTAGTTTTGGGTGATGGTGGGTGGTGGTAGGTGGTTGAGGTAGGGTAGTGGTTGAGGGTAAAAGTTGGGTATTGGGTTGCGTGTCTTACTTTTGATGCAGTCAGCATGGTAGTCAATGTACAGGTCCTTCTCTCCATTGTCTAGACGGGTTTTGAGTTCGATGCGGAGTGCACGGGAGCGGGCACGTTGCTGTATGGTTAAGTCAGGGCGGCAACGGAGGTTTTTGTGGTTGGTGTTGGTTTTGGCGAGTGAGTTTATAGTGTAAATCACATATCACATACACAATCAATGGACTGCACCTATACATCTTCAGATGACTTAGTACAACTTAGCTTGGAATCATCTAAGTTCAATTCTTTTATCTACTAGGTAGGGCAATGAAAAGCAGTAGTCAGCTGACACAGCTCCTTTACTCTTTTTTCAGATTCAAAGGTTGTATCACACATCAAGCTAAGCCACAACATGACTTATATATTTTTGGTTTTGCGTGAAGTGTGAATCCAGGTCATTGTGGTCAGTAAATTATGGCTTGGGGCAACATATATACCAAGCTATGCTCAACAAAACATTAGCTAAACAATGACATCTTAATGTGATGCATATTGTCATGCCCCTGTTAGAATCTGACTCCGAGGGAGAGGAAGAACAACCGACAGGGAGTGGGTGTGTGGTTCCAGAGGTTGTGGACGAAACTGGGGAAGGGCACAGGTTGGCTGGGCATTCAGAAGAAGACCCAGGCCACCCCTTCTTCATCCTAGGGCACGCAGGGTGGAATGGATCAGGGAGAAACGTGAATGGCGTGGTCTACGGGGGAGGAAAGGGCCTTGATCCTCTTCATGGGCTGCAGCTGTTTAAAAGGACAAACTGCGCATGGGCCAGTGCTGGAAGCAAAGCGTGAAAATATTTGTAGTCTGTCCGTTCTTATCTGAGTTCTGGCGTCCTTCCCAGTGTGTGTATTTTGATATCTGTGGACATCTTCAAGCCCTTATTCTGCCTTGTCTCCTTAATTGCTTCAGTGTAGTTTGTGTTGTTTTTTCTATTTATAATTTATATGTATTTTGAGTTTGAACGGAGGTTCTTCCTTTTGCGCAACTGTTTGTGGGGGAGTTTTTTTCTCCAGTCAATGATAATTGGACTTTTCAAGCCAAGTTGAAGGAATTAAAGGGACTTTGCTGGTTTTTGTGACTTTGTTGCTTTTGTATCCCACCTTGGGTCATCACATATATCATCCCATATATCATCACATATATCCTATTGAGTGAGAGTGATGCAGATTAGGTTTTTTAAATGTTGCACATTGCTGCATTTCCTGATTCTTGCTTAAAACAGGTAGCAGATGTAACTGAATTGTTGTTCAAGTGCAGGCAGGCAAGAGTCAGAGGTCAATTGGTATAATTATTAATGAAATATGAAATCAGTCACCAGATTAGGTAGATATCGTGTCTAGAAAGGAGGCAATAAACTTCCACAGCTACATGTCTATAGCAATTCTCAGTCATCCAGATCATGGTTGTCCCAAAGATGCTTTTTTCAAGAGGCAAATAGACTTTATTGTAGACATTCCAGTTTCATCCAATAAGCTTCTTCAGTTCTGACCTGGTGGGGAATGGAAGCAGAAGTGGTATTCATCAGGTTCTGACCAGTTCTGGAGAACCAGTACCGAAAATTTTGAGTAGTTCAGAATACCACCTCTGACTGGCCCTGCCCCCATCTATTCTCTGCCTCCCAAGTCCCAGCTGATCAGCTGGGTCTTCTTTTGTTGCCCTGCATGGGAGAATGGAGCTGGAAAGCAGGTTAATGGGGTGGGGAGAGAAGGGGGATTTTATAGTATCCTTCCCCCGGAGTGAGGTGGGAATGAAGATTTTACAGTATTCTTTCCCTGCCACTCCACGCCCACCAAGCCACACCCACAGAACCAGTAGTAAAAATTTTTGAATCCCACCACTGAAGGATATGTCTGCCAAATCCGTCCATTCCCCACCGTCCAATCAGAGTTGGAGAAGCTTCTTGGATGAGAAGCGAAACATCTTCAAAGGAAAACAAGAAAGCCCAGTTGCCTCTTGAAAAAAGCATCTTTGGGATTTCCACAGCTACAGGTTAGAATAGAATAGAATAGAATAGAATAGAATAGAATAGAATAGAAGAGAAGAGAAGAGAAGAGAAGAGAAGAGAAGAGAAGAGAAGAGAAGAGAATACTTTATTAGCAAAGTTTGATTGGACATACAAGGAATTTGTCTTGGTGTAAATACTCTCAGTATACATAAAAGAAAAGATACATTCGTCAAGAGTCGAGAATCAACCACAATGATAGTCATAGGGTACAATAAGCAATCAAATCATACTAGGAAATAGTCAATATAAATCGTAAGGATACAAACGACAAAGTTACAATCATACAGTCACAAGCGGGAGGGGATGGGTGATAAGGAGTGATGAGAAGATTAACAGTAATAGTAGTGCAGACTTTGTAATAGTTGAACAGTGTTGAGGGAATTATTTGTTTAGCAGAGTGATGGCGTTCTTATGTCTAGTTGTTCTGGTGTGCAGAGCTCTATAGCGTTGTTTTGAGGGAAGGAGTTGAAACAGTTTATGTCCAGGATGTGAGAGGTCTGTAAATATTTTCACAGCCCTCTTTTTGATTAGTGCAGTATACAGGTCCTCGGTTGAAGGCAGGTTGGTAGTAATTGTTTTTTCTGCAATCCTAATTATCCTCTGAAGGCTGTGTCTGTCCTGTTGGGTTGCAGAACCAAACCAGACAGTTATAGAGGTGCAGATGACAGACTCAATAATTCCTCTGTAGAACTGTATCAGCAGCTCCTTGGGCAGTTTGAGCTTTCTGAGTTGGCGCAGAAAGAATATTCTTTGTTGTGCTTTTTTGATGATGTTTTTGATGTTAGGTGTCCATTTTAGGTCATGTGATATAGTAGAACCTAGAAATTTGAAGATCTCTAGATACTGTGTTGTCTAGTATTGTAAGAGGTGGTAGTATGGGAGGGTTTCTTCTAAAGTCTATCACCATTTCTATGGTTTGTGTTCAGTTCCAGATTGTTCCGGTAACAGTTGTATAACCTCCTGTCTGTATGGGGATTCGTTGTTGTCTCGAATGAGACCAATCACTGTTGTGTCATCAGCAAACTTCAGTATTTTAACAGATGAATTGTTTGAGATGCAGTCATTGGTATATAAGGAGAAGAGAAGTGGAGAAAGCACACAGTCTTGGGGGGACCCTGTGCTGATTGTACAGGTATCAGATGTGATTCTGCCTAGCTTCACCTGCTGCTTCCTGTCTGTTAGGTAGCTTATGATCCACTTACAAGTGTGTTCAGGTACCACTAGTTGGTTTAATTTACTTAGAAGAATATCTGGAATGATGGTATTGAATGCTGAACTGAAATCTACAAAGAGGACCCTTGCATAGGTATTTGGAGGTTTGGAAGAATTACAATTCAAAGTCCTGGAAATGTATGACTTAAATTCTGTATTTGTGAGGCCTTTAACTTAGTATTTAAATAAAATAAATACCACTGTATAACTTAATCAACCAGCAGCATTAGTTGTCTAAGGATCGTAACTCAATAGGAATTTATATATTTAAATATTTAACCACTGTACCAGATTTTGACATGTCCAGTTCAGGTATTTAGTTGATTTCAAAAGACATAGAGCGAAAAAACACATTCCTTCCAAAAACCTCCGCTTGTGCCATTAGAAACTGAAGTGAAATTCAGTTACAATCCAGTCACACTCACCGGCACCAATTCCCTAGGATTTTATTATTTTTTCAGCTCTATCTGGAAATGTCAGGAGCAGAACCTGGGGCCTTTTGCACGCAAAATCATGGACTCCACCACTGAGTAGAAGTCCTTGAATGTCTACTATTGAGGGAGATATTGTTTCCTCTCCAGCTACTTATCCATGCTGTTCTACATTTTATTAGGTATATCAGGTTGTGATATTGTCCTCTGTGATAACGACACTACAGACTGCAAGGATGTTGAGGGCAGTATTCCAACATGTGAATGTAAACCAGGCATGGCTAAGAATTACTTAGAAGACAAAGCTTGTCGAGGTAAGACTTTGAAGGCAATTTTCTGAGATAAATGTGGTTAGCTGTTTAGCATAAACCAGAGTTTCTTATTAAATATGGTTTTGCGAATCCATAACCTTTTATGGCAGAAGATATATCTATTTTTTTTAAAAAAGTGAAATGATACCACTCACTGAATCAATCTATGTGTGCATGTGCACACATATATGCATGTGTGTTACATGTTAGAAACATTATTCTAGAAATAGGCATTAATAAAATAATGAGAGCCACAAATGGAATCCTAAATTTTGGAGCTTCCCACTCAGGGGTGGGATTCTACCTAGTCGGACCAGTTCTATAGAACCAGTTGTTACAATCCTGCACAGTTCAGGGACCCGGCAAATTGCACCACTGGCTGGCCCTGCCCCGCCCACTCACTTCTTACCTGGTATGCGCGCCATCAAACTTGCTGCTAAGTTGCTATTTTTCCTTTTTTTCCCCCTGACCATCAGCTGTTCTGCTGTGCAGGGAGATTTAGATTAGCTAGAAAGCAGGAAATCGTTGGATTTCTTGCTTTCTAGCTAATCTAAAAACAGAGCTGAACCTTCCTTAGGACTGAAGCTTCTATTTTTCAGTGCAGACTCAGGTAGCAGATTCCAGAAAGATAGACCTTTGAATGAATCTGTGATTCTGTGAGCAACTCAATCTGCCTGCCTGCTTTGCCTGATTTTGGGTAAAAGTTGCTCTTTTTTAAATAAAAAAATTCAATATTTATATACATGGTGTGTTGTGAGTTAACTTTGTGACTTTGCTTGCTAGCAAATTTTATGAGTTTGCTTGCAAGCAAATTTTATGTGACAGACTCAGCTAGCAGATTGCAGAAAGATAGATCTCTGAGTGAATCTGTGCTTCTGCAAGCAACTCAATATGCCTGCCTGCTTTGACTGATTTTGGGTAAAAGTTGCTTTTTTAATTATAAAAAATTAAATACTTATATAAATATTTATAATATTTATATACAAGCCACACCCAGCCAGTCACATGACCACCGAGCCACACCCACAAATTAGGCCACGCCTACAGAACTGGTTGTTAAAAAATTTGAATCCCACCCCTGTTCCCACTGTAACTCTGGGAGACTGGGAATTGTCTACATACATATAGTTCCCATACTTCTTATTTCTGAAAAAGTACTTTTTGAGAAAGTGCATTTAAAATTAGGTTCTAAGGAATACATCTAGCAGAAGAAAGTACTAATTTAAGAAATGATTTGAAGTAAGAATATAATCAGCGAATCTCTGCTCAGTTTATTTATGCAATATATCCTCAAAGGTTGCATACAAGTAGTCCTCAAGTTATGAATGTAATGGAGCCTGCACATTCCATTCGTAACCCAAGGATTTGTGGGAGTGAATCTCGTACCTTGAGTGGGATCATTCCTTCCTTTTGCCCACGCATTCGCTCGTTAAGTGCACATGAGGTATTTCAGGGTGGGGAAGGCCATGGGGGGGCCAAGTGATGGAAAAGGTAACCTACTTAAGACTATCCAAGGCCTCACTGACCCACTGAAATACTTCATGCTCCCCACAATTGTTTCCCCCAATCTGCCGAGCCAGGTCACTTACCTTGTGAAGATCTAGCAAGCACTCTCCTCTCCAGCCTCTGCATGCACCCCTTTGTTTGAGCCTCCGCGGGCCTCGCCCACAGGTTGCTGGCCAAAATGAAGATTCTGAGGGACGAATCCCTCTGACACTCTGTTCATCTCTCCGTGGGCCTCCCCTGCCCTATTGCTGGCTGAAATGGAGCACCTGGGGGCCTCCTCGGCCTGTTGCAGGCCAAAAGGGAGCCTCTGGGAGCTGGATCTAAAGGTTTAAAGGAACCACAGGACTGCCATTGCCTTGCTTTGGTTCTCATATTTTCAGTCAATGCTTTGCTAATCCTAAATTATTATCTGTTCCTCCCCTCCTGAGTGCAGCTTGTCAAGGCTGTTCTGCAGAAAAAAATGAATTCTGTTTCCTGAAAGCAAATCTCGTCCCCGAATGCCGATGTCTGCCAAATTTCGAGAAAAAGGATGCAGAATGTGAAGCGTAAGTATGTGATTAAGAAAGCCGTCCTCCTCCAATGTATCTTCATCCCTTGTGAATGGGTGGACCTGCCCATGTTGTTTTTGTGAAAAACAAAATGGAAGCAGTTTGTCGTTACCTTTTTCCCCTGACTTCCTTTGTAGACTGGCATTCCTCTTTTGGCCTCCTGAGAGAGCGATTTAGGCTTCTTTGTTTTCCAAGAATGACCAAGGATGCCTAGCCTCTTGTGCTGACCAGAGTTTGACTGCTGCGCCAAAATGATATGATTTCATAGGATGATTTGCAGTCTGCTAGTCTTTTCTAAGCAGACATTAACTGCAGAGAGAGATGTGGGAGCCAGTTTAGTCATATCATGATAATATGCATCATAAGAAAAAAAAGAAGCTCATCTAAGACATAGAAAAACATATGCTCCTAAGTTACACACAATATGTTCTCCCACTATAAATAAAACAATCCTTCTACAGGTAGTCCTCGACTTACAACCATAACGGAGCCAGGAATGTATGTCCTGATACTCGTAACTCAAAGCACCCACACGATTGATCTAATTTTACAACACTATTTCCAGGGGTGGGATTCAGTTTTTTTAACAACCAGTTCTGTGGGTGTGACTTAGTTGGTGGGTGTGGCTTGGTGGTCATGTGACTGGGTAGGCGTGGCCAACTCGACATCACTCATGCAAGGGGTGCTTCTCCTCGCCTGGCCTCTCATGACATTGGGGATGCTGCAACGGTCATAAGTGTGAAAAATGGTCATAAGTCACTTTTTTCAGTACCATTGTAACTTTGAATGGTCACTAAATGAACTGTTGTAAGTCAAGGATTATCTGTACAAAAATACAAAAGGCTTCTTTGCTTGCAAAAAGCTGCCCTAAATATCAATCATTAGATTAAAAATATCCACGCCCCAGGTCATCACACTTTGAGTGGTCACAAAACAACCGGTTGTAAGTCAAGGACTACCCACATGGGAGAAATCTTGATACATCATTGGTATATTTTATTCAATCACTCGCACGATGATATTTTGTGTTTGCTTTTAGGTGCAGCATTGGATTTTCTGGAGAAGGCTGCCAAGATAGTATGTATTACAAGGAGAATATTTTATTTAAAACTGAAAACTATTTCTAGGGGGGGAAATACGGTAGACCATCTATAATATAAATTATATCAGAAAAGCCCCAAAATGAAACTTCTATTCATTGAGAAAACATAAGGAGAAATACCACATACAGACATACATTTAGAACCATTTCTGGACCACACCCTCACTGAAAACTGCTATTTTTAAGGTTATATTTTCCATAAGCATAATTTGAGGTGGATGTGACCGTAGGGGAGTACATTTGTACGAGCCTTCTGATGCCATGTTGATGTACAAAAGAGCCACACACCTTGCAGTACAATATCACTGCTTCTCATCTTTCTAATGAAAGCAGCAAACTTCTGTGGACACCCCTCTGTTGCACTGTACCATTTCAAGTACCTTTGTAGAACATCTCTGTTGCAATATCTCATAAATATATATTATGAAGAACTTCAAAGAGATAGTCGCTAGTTATGATTTGCTCAGGACCAAATAAATTCTTGAAGCATACCCAGTTGCCGCAGCTGAAGTTTAGCAATGTCAAAACCAAGGGACTCGGATATTCTAAGCCTTCCGAAAAAGAATCCTGCTACCAAAATGTAATAACGTGACTTATGTTGCCTAAGATGATCATAACACAATGTTGTCCTGTGGAAACTCTTTCCACAAAACCAAAAGGTTTTGTTCATTTCTTGCTTTAACTTTGTTTTAAAATTTGTTTTCCTCACAGAGTTGGGGATATGAAGTGTTATAAACAGGGTATTATTTCACTTCAGCATCGTGAATGTATGTTATAAAAGTCATATCATAGAACGCAGCCAATTTTATGTGGTCGGGTTCAGTCGCATAATTTGTCACTCACACTTTAGACTTTAACACAAGGCTCTGCTTTCCCCCACTTTTGTTGGCACTTTACATTTGGTTCACTTTCAATTAAATTCCCCCCTCTTTCTTTCTCCCCAAAAACCCTCTGAACCCCAAGAGGCTACTGCTTGCCAATGAAAGAAAGCCTCAAAGAAATCTTTCTATGAAGTTTGTTGAGGTAATTTCCCGTTAGGAGAATGAGCGCATACAGGGAGACGTATAGGGAGTAGTGTTGGAATAATGCACACAGAGCACACAGATACACTGTACAGTAAATGTAGGTTTTTACTTCCAGAAACGTTAAGCAAAGTCCAAACGAGCAATCCAAAATCATTCACAGGTAAATAGGTCAGTTTTCAATCCAGGGATAATTCAATAACAAATTCCAGTGTCAAAAACAGTTCAGTATCAGACTTACATTAAATCCAGAAATATCAGTCAATTAGGAAAAATGGAGGACCGGCAATACTTTCCAACAGAAGGAAACAGAGAGACTCACTCAGACACACTCTCTTCTGAGACTAAGACTAAAACAACCCAGGTTTCTGGCTCCATCTTATGGCCGTTTGAAAAACCACACCCAGCTACAGTTTTGCATTTTCTTAAAGATATAATACTAAAATGTCTATCCTGGCTTATATATTTCTAACCCAAATACCTGTTAGGTGACTTATATTCCTAACAAAGTTACCTAGGTGATTATGCCTATCAGCATGATAAAATATTTGAATTTCCTTCTCCTTCCATTCATCTTCAAATTGATATTTTTTTCACTTATATTGTATCTCAGAAATGATTTATTTCTTCATTTCCTTCCCATTCACTTTTTCCAAAGGAAAAAGAAGAATCAAAAATTCCTAGGGATGAGGAACAATTAAATCAACTCGGATAAAATCAAGCAATCAGTGACCTTTAATTGTCTTCCTGTCAAGATGTGATTTGATAAACATAGGGGAATCTCTGTTACTTTCTCCCTATTCCATCCAAAGTGAGAGATCTCTCTATGCAGAGACAATCTAGAATGGAAAAGAAGAATAACTTTTTTTAAAAAAGGTGGGGAGAGGTTAGAAAAAACAGAACAAGAAATAATAGACCCATAGGTGACAGAAAAAATTAAATTCTATTTTCCTTTATATGTAACAATGCAAAAATAAAGGTATTAGAAGATCTCATAAAAGATATGGTAGCCATGGTAATTTTGAAATCTCTTCTCAGGTTACATGGCCATCATCATAGGAATATCTACCTTGTGCGGCGTTCTTCTGGTGGCTTTAATTGGCGTAACCATTTGCATCTTAAGGTAAAGTTTCCCCTCGCACATACGTGCTAATCGTTTCCAGCTCTAGGGGACGGTGCTCATCTCCATTACAAAGCCGAAGAGCCAGCTCTGTCCAAAGACGTCTCCATGGTCATGTGGCTGGCATGACTAAACTCCGATGGCGCACGGAACACTGTTACCTTCCCACCAAAGTGGTCCCTATTTTTCTACTTGCATTTGTACATGCTTTCGAACTGCTAGGTTGGCAGAAGCTGGGACAAGTAATGGGAGCTCCATTATACGGTGCTTGGGTTTCAAACGTCTTGGTCAGGTACAAATGATTTTTGGGAAGGGATGGCATTCAAAATCCCAGCAACCGGTTCTCTGCCCAGTTGCTGGGTGGGCATGGCCATTGCGGGTGTGGCCTACCAGAACTTCTGGGAGGCCCGTTTTTTGCTCTCCCCAGGCTCTGGAGGCTTTCCTCAGGCCGCTGGGAGGGCGAAAACACCTCCCTGGGCTCCGGAGGCCCTCCAGAAGCCAGAAACAGGCCCATTTCTGGACTTCTGGAACTGCCAGGAGGCCTGTTTCCCCCCCCCCCCCCCCCCCCCCCCGAGCCTCTGTGCAGACCCAGAACTTATCTGCATCCAAAACAGGCTGTGTGGAGACTCCTTGGAGGGATGGAGTGGGGTAAACGGGGCCAGCCAGTCGGTTCAACTACTGGTTTGGCAAACCAGATGTAAATTTAACATTCAGTTCGCCTGAACCAGTCCAAATCAGCTGAATACCACCCCTGCTTTTGGGGGCGTATGAATATACGCTATTAAAAAGTTTGTGACATGAGGCGATTCTGAATTTCATAGTTTAGTTTGGAATTCAAAGCCATTAGGTGATGCATGAATGGACTGGCTGATTAAATGTGTATGTCAATCTTGTCACAGATTCAGCTTCTGTATAAATACAGGTAGTCCTTGACTTACAGCCATTCATTTAGTGACCGTTCAAAGTTATTTTTAAAAAGTGAAGTATGACTGTTTTTCACATTTATGACCGTTGCAGCACCCCATGATCAGGTGATCAAAATTTGGGTGCTTGGCAACTGGCATGTATTTATGACAGTTGCACTGTCCTGGGGTCACATGATCATCATTTGTAATCTTCCCAGCCGGCTTCTGACAAGCAAAGTCAATGGAGGAAGCCAGTTTCATTTAATGACCATATGATTCACTTAACAACTGCAGTGATTCGTTTTAACAACTGTGGCAAAATAGTGGTAAAATGGGACAAAATTCATTTAACTAGGTCACTTAGCAGTGGAAATTTGGGGCTCAATTGTGTTGTATGTTAAGGACTACCTGTAACTTACTCTTACTACATATGCATGGGAGACACCCAGGTCCTTTCAAACAAATTAAGCAAAGGTCAGTATTAAGATCAAACTAACCTTAACTCACCAATTTTTAAGCCTCACTGTGAAAAGGAACAAAATATTGTGACACACAAAATAACAATTTCAATACACTTTTTAGTGGTGCACTTTCAGGGACGGGTTCATAAGTCACAAAAATGGGAGAGGTGTTCATTGTCCACCTGGATTAAAGCACAACACAAAGAAACTGTCACATAAAACAAGGCTCTCCAAATTTGGTGACTTTAAGACCTGTAGGACTTCAACTCCCAGAATTCTTCAACCAGCCATGAATTCTGGGAATTGGAGTCCACAAGTCTTAAAGTTGCCAAGTTTGGAGACCCCTGACATAAAATATTGAAAACATGCAAAAATTAGTTATAGCTAGCATTTTAAAAAGGCCTACATTTTCCCCGAGTTTCCACTAGTTGTCGAGTTACTCTTTCCAACACTCCCAGTTGTACAGTACACTAATCGTGGGATAAGAAAAGACGTTATTCTATTGAACAGTTACCGATGAAAAATAAAAAAAAGTAGATTAGAAACAATCACTTCTTCCATGGAAAGGAGGAAAACAGAGGGCTCTTCCGGGGCTCTTAATTGGAACTAATCCTTCTCAATTGTTCACAAAGGGGGTTAGAGCTGAGCAGTAAAGTTGCCAGATTTGCCAACGCATGAGTGTCTACAGACAAAAAAAGGATAACAAAGAGAAACAAAAGGATTGTCCAAATTGAAAGAGAATGAGCATTAAAATGGCAAGTTAAGTTCAACAGCATACACTGAACTAGATTGGCACAAACATTTGTAACCACAGATACACTAAAACTTCTGGTGATAGAACAGAAATTAGACTATGGCAGGCAAGGCATTGTAAGAGAGGGCAGAGCGGTTGTGAAAAAGTGAATTTTAAACTGGGGATCATTAGGAAAGGTCCCCCTCATTATTATTTAGAGTAAAAAGAACTTAAGTGTGTTTTCATTTTATTGTAGAAATTTAGCTGTCTTGTGCACTTCAAGGCTGATATGAAGACAAATAATGAAATAATCAATAATACCATTGTAACAACTAGTATCTTGATGAACCTAGGAATCTGATAAACTTGACTCAAAAAGAATATTGCAGAGTTGGAAAAAGAGTTTAAAAATGGCAATCAAAAGTGGTCATGATTACTTGGGTTTATGAAATTTCCTTTACTAAAATGATTGAGATCCTAAATTCCCTTTTACACGTATTTGTAAATTGAATTGATATGAATAGTTAGCTTCATCGTCACCTCTGTCACAAAACTTTGCACAACTCCTAGGGAGCTTTGTTAAGAAGAAAAAGCCAAGATGAGCACAAAAAGACAGATTTTGAATGTCATTATGATCGCCCTTTCTTTTTGTATAAAAGAAAACGGAAGCCTAAAACGGAAGAGCAACAATTGGTAAGCCATGAGTATTCAACCTCGGGCAATCCTTATGGCGTTCCTCCTGCCACAAACTTTGCTGAAAGTGGGAGAATGTTCCCCAGAATCCGAGCTACGAATGACGCACCATTGAGCAAAGCCACTGCTGAGAACCCAACCAATTTCTACAAAGAAGGAGCTGCAAATAGAGGCTACGTTCCTGAGCAAGATTATAGCAACGATAACGTGAGTGGCCGTTTAGGTTCCTATCTTTGCAGTGGCATGAAAATCTGCATGGTGAGATAAAGCAGATTCCAACCTTTCCAGTAAATGGAAAGTATGTTTATTTTAGAAGATAGCCACTTTGGCCAGTCTCCCTGCACTTTCTGTTTGTCACACATTCCTGTATCCTTGATCTGTTGAGCTACCACTGACAGGGCAGTCCCAGGGCTCTGAGCAGTAACTAAAAACCCTCATTTGGATTTATGTTGTGTTCAGTAGCTAGAAAGCATCATGAAACTTCTTCTCTGAATGCCTGGAACAGGGACAGCATCTGTATTTGGAAATCAACATCCTAGATGTTAAATGTCTGGTTTCCTTGCTGCAACCAAATTCTCTGGTTGGCTTATTGCAGGGGTCAGCAACCTGTGGCTCTGGAGCCGCATGTGGCTCTTTCATCTCTCTGCTGAGTCTCCCTGTTGCTGGTTGGCTCCACAATGGATAGGGCTTTTAGTTAGGATGGGTAGAGGAAAATGGACACTGCGCTAGGAGGAGACTATGGTGGGGGAACCGCCATAGAGTCAGGTCTGCTCCAGAATTGAATGGGGGGGATCTTTGTGGCTCTTTGAGTGTTTAAGGTTACTGACCCCTGCCTTTTTGTATTGCAGAGATGCACAGCTTGAGACCTTTGGTTTGCAGGAGGATTTAGTTCCCATCCCACAAATCTACAAATAGGAATTGTAATTAAATAACGGGGGACTATTTATTCTATTGATAGCATCATTGAATGTATAACTTGGGGAAAAAACATGGAGATCCTATCACAACTATTTGGCTGGGGAATTTTGGGAGTTGAAGTCCACACATATTAAAATCATCATGGTTGTGAAGCACTGTTCTAATCTAAATTCCTTGTCTATCACAGGAACCCATGACCACCATAGTAGTTTTATTTTAAATTAACTACTGCTGCATTCTTTTAATTTTGACCCAACTAAATTAAATTACAGTGTAAATTTTTGTCCAGGGCTGTTTACTTGTTCAATGTGAGTCCTAGCATGGCACTCAAAGTCTAAAGTCAGTTTTCCTTTTTCTCTTCAAAAATAGGCAGCCCTATTAGAATACTTCCTCATGAGCTATGGCTAGTCTTAACAAGGAATATTTATCCCTGAAATTTAGAGAACCAGCAGCACTGGATCATGAAATGCAGATGATATTAGTTTTTAAATAATGCTGCAGTACAACTTTGCATAATTCTGTCTAAAATTTCTTTGAAGAGTGATAGTTCAGTTTAGTGAATTATTTTCAAAGGATTAAGATATATGATTTTTTTTGGGGGGGGGAGTCAAGAATTTGTAGTAGTAATAATAATTAAAAAGTTCAGCACATGTCCCCTTGGCTAAATTATATTTCCCTTGTTTTATTGTTCATTTCTAAACAACCAGTGGCTAGACATGCCCTCCAGATACTGAGTCCAGCTGAAGAGCAAGGAAAAATAAGAACATCTGGTCAACATGGGCGCTGCCATGGAATCAAAATGCAATGCTTCTGAATTCTCCAATCACTTTTGCACTAAGAGAGCTAATATCTCAGAAGGACTTTACAGCTACCTTTTGTAAAGTACTCTAGACCTGCCGGTTAATGGAACTTCAGCTCTACTTGCTGTCTTCCTTAAATGAGTGGGGGGGCGGGGGGGGCAGGAAGAAAGATATGGAATGTGCTGCAACCCTACAAGCTGCCATGGCTTTAGCATATCTTCTATCACCTATGTGTCATCACAAAAGAAGAGGCAGTCGGGAAGAGGGGAAAGAAGAATAGCTCCCTTTAACCCAGAGAGTTTCTTAACTGGAGTTTGATTGTTTTTCATTTTTTGAAATGTTTTGCTAGTTTTGCTAGTTTCTTTTTCTTCACCTACTCCCCTGCATAAAACACGCACTTTCATTTTTCTCACTTTCAAGGCCCATGTTGCATTCAATCAAAGTCCCTTGTCCATCCCAATTTCCACTTTCAAACACTTTTGAAGTACATGCTCTGTGTGTATGTGTGTACTGGGGGTTTAAATGTCATGTAGATGGTTGGAAATCACTGCTTGTTTGCACCCTGTTAAACCTGCTGGTATGGTATGCTGGCACTGCTTATTGGTATGGTATTCTAGTCAACAATGAATTGTTTGCAGAGGTTTGTGAATTTCTGTACTGTGGACTTTTAATTTTGTGAACCACCAGGGAACCACCATCTAGCTGTGCAGTTAGTTTCCCAATTTTCCTACTTTCTTACAATTTTTCTTGCAGGTTACCTATTTTCCCAGGACTTAGGCATCTTTTTTTGTCAGAATTTGGCATTTCAGTCCCATTTTTTGAATGAAATGCACATGGAGTGTCAGAGAGAGAAATACATCTTTAAAAATAGACTGTTCTTACACTTTGTTTCATTATAGAGCTGGTGAATGGAAATAGATATAACTGGTATTACAGCCTTCTTAGAATTCTAGAGGCTATCTCATAAAACAATTTCTGAGTGAGAAAAGAAAAAAAATGACCTGTTTTCTTCCCCTCTTCTACCCATCAAATTAACCACTCTATGTCACAACTCTTTTGTGTGGAAGACATTCAGTCTTCTCACTTGTTCAACAGTTCCTCTTCTGGTAACCTCAGCTATTACAGTTGTGCAAATTCTTCAAAAGAAATCCTTTAGAAAAGCATGTATGAAGTGCCTTTTTTCAGACTATTAAGGCAACCTTGTTTTTTTCTCCCAGGAATATGTGGCTGCTTTGGGAACTGTTCCCTGCTGCCTCTGTGTGTGTGTTCATGGACAGCCCCTTTAATTCACTGGTGTGTGTGTGTGTTCCTCTTTCAAACTATTTGCCCTATAGCCCTAGAAGAAAACATCATTGTGGTTAAAATGCACGGAAAATCAGCGTGGCTTTGAAAAAGCTGCTAGGTAAGTTATATCCACAAGATGGTGCCCCAACGTTTGGCTACAATTTTAGCCTACAGACTAAACTCTGCTTCCCTGATTTATAAAATCCCTTACACAGCAGTGTTCTGTTTTGTATGAAACAAAATAATTCCTAAGATACAAATATCTAAAAAGATCTTGCAATTTCTACAATCTAAGTTTGTGATTCAATTTAAAGAATTAGCTTGCTTTATTTAGGGCTGGTTGATATTTATATGGAATATATCAAGGTGTTTGTGCTGGTTTTATTTCTGATTCATTATACCACTTCAGATTAATTGGCCTATGGTCTTTGATTGCTTGTGTCATTACAAAACATCACCATGACCTCTTTTCATATTACTTTCTACCTGATTCTGGAATCCTACTCTATGAGGTGCCCATCTACTTGTGCTGTCAGAGTCTGCTGTCTATTTCTAATACTTTGCAGGGCAGGACAAGCATCATTTTAAGGGGAAAATGAATAGGAGGAATATTTTAAAACTGTCTTTCAGGAAGAAGTGCTTTGTACAATAACATTCCAGTTTTTTTTGAAAAGTCCATATGCTCTGTCTCAGGAATAAGACAAACTTTTAGGTCAATGAGCATGGTTGGCCACATGCATCCTCACAAAATGGCCATCGCAGAGAGGCACAAAATGGCACAACTCACTGTGGTCACTTTGCTGTGGCCAACCTGCAATAAATATTATCTACTACTATTTCTTCAACGTTATTTCCAAAATTTGAATTGTATTGGGTTATGCCATGTGCAATTGTCCCAAAGCAAGTTGACTCGTGGCAAGCTGGCACAACGAGATGGCCATGGTAAGATGGCGGTGCCGAGTTGACTGTGGCAAGATGACTACAGCAAGTTGGCCACGGTGAGTTATCCTAGACCTGAGATACGCCTGCTTATTCATAAAGCAACTGCCTCATAGGTTCAGTTTGGGCCCAAATATCCATTTACCCTATGACTAATTGGGAAGATTGTGCTCTAGCTCAGGGGTTGCCAACCGTTTGGACCTCAGGGACCACCTAACTCATAATTTTAAATCCCGCAGACCAGAGACCCTGGGAAAATCCCCCAAAAAGTCTGCAGGAAAATTCCCCGCCCTGTTTTCCTACCGATCGATCATTCTTTATTTGGGATCGCACGATACCTTCTCCAGCTCTGTTCTCAAGGGGGGTGGGGGGGAGAGAGAAACTTTTGGCTTCATGCAAGGAAAGCAGCAGAAGCAGCAGAAGTCTTTCTTTCTCTCCCCCAAACTCCTCCAGAAATGAGTCTTTGTTGCACCAGTGCAACCTCTTGGACCAGGATGCCTTGCAGGGTCCCAAAGACTAATTTCTGGAGGAATTGGGGGGAGAGAAAGACTTTGCTGCTTTCCTTGTATGCAGCCAAAAGCAGAAGAAAGAAGCAGAAAGAAGCAGCCCGGTGGCCAGGCCAAGTACATGAGGCATGTGGGACAAGTTTTCCCCCTCCCCCCTTCCCCCGCTCCCCTCACTACCTCGTGTTGTTCGCAATGCGATGCAAGACTTGTGTTCCCGTGGGCCATGTGGGTGGCACAGCCTTGTGTTCCCGTGCAGCCTGGATTGATTGCTTTGGGGGGTGCTTTGGGGGTGACATTTCTCTGCAGACCACCAAAATTTTCTCGTGGACCAACAGTGGTCCCCGGTTGGCGACCACTGGTCTAGCTGCAGTGGATCGAGAGATTGTCCTCTTTTGGGGGGGGGGAGAATGATGGGACCCAGACTCAGAGGGATACCCCTGGGTTTATTTTATTTATTATTTATTTTATTTTTATTGATCGATTGATTTGATTTGTCAATCACTTACAGGATAATAGGTATAAGTATAAACATGAGTAAGAATACAGGAAATAGGTACGAATAAAAGGAGACATTTGGACAGGGATGGGAGGCACAATGGTGCATTATGCACACCCCTTACAGACCTCTTAGGAATGGGGTGAGGTCAATAGTGGATAGTTTGAGGTTAAAGGAGTGGGGGTTTGAGGATGTAACAACAGAGTCAGGTAGCGCATTCCAGGCGTTGACCACTCTGTTGCTGAAGTCGTATTTTCTGCAATCAAGTTTGGAGCAGTTTCATTCCCTTCTCGGCCCCCTGCAAGCTGGAGAAAGAAGCAGTTCCTGAAAACAGCAAAGGCAGAGTTTCCTGATTGGACCTGAAACTCGGACCTTGTGCCCCAAAGCCACAGAAAAGTAAAACGTAGGATAAAACTGGAAAACAACATCACCCAGTGTTTCAGAGGCCTTTTATTTTATTTTTTTCCATGCTGCTTTGCTAAATTGCAGGCCTTTATCTTTGTTCCAGTTTTATGCCTCTTCCTTCAGTTTATCTGCTAGCAGGTTAATGATTATTTGTGTTGATAGGCAGGCCTCCTCTGATTAGGTGCTGTCTTATTACTCCTTAAGCCCTAGCATGGCTTTCATTGATTAAAATAAAAATATATGTGGGGACTTGGACTAACATCATGTTCTTCAAGGCTACTTAGGCTTAGTAGCCCCCTTTAGAAGAAGAAAACTGGAGCCAGACATTGAACAACCTCTTCCTGGGGAACGGAAAATCTCCCGCTCGTCCCCATCCATATTTCACATGAACAAGAGACCTGATCAATTTGGGGAAAAAAGCTCACCTTCTTTTTCTAATTTAATTCAGTCACTTGATAAACTGCCTTTCTTTACTAAGACAGAAAAGGACGTGAAGCTAGAAAATGCAGATAATAAACCAATCACGTCAGACTAATTCATATTTGACCGATGATGTATATAATACTGAAACATTCACCCATGCACACCCCTTCCAACCATCAACTATGTATTGCATTTTGTTGTTCAGTCGCTAAGTCGTGTCTGTCTCTTTGTGACCCCGTGGACCAGAGCACAGCAGGCACCCCGATCCACTATCTCCCAGAGTTTGCCCCAATTCATGTTCATTCCATCAATGACACTATCTAACCATCTCATCCTCTGCCATCCCCTTCTCCTTTTGCTTTCCATCTTAACAGATAACAGATAATCAGAGTTGGAAGGGACCTTGTAGGTCATCTAGTCCAATCCCCTGCCCAAGCAGGAGACCCTACACCATTTCTGACAAATGGCAGTCCAATCTCTTCTTGAAGGTCTCAAGTGATGGCGCTCCCACAACTTCCAAGGCTAAGGTGTTCCATTGGTTGATTGTTCTCACTGTCAGAAAGTTTCTCCTTATTTCCAGGTTAAATCTCTCCTTGTTCAGTTTCCATTCATTATTCCTTGTCTGGCCTTCGGGTGCTTTAGAAAATAGCTTGACCCCTTCCTCTCTGTGGCAGCCCCTCAAATATTAGAAGACTGCTATCATGTCTCCCCTGGTCCTTCTCTTCACTAGACTAGCCAAGCCCAGTTCCTATAACCATTCTTCATATGTTTTAGTCTCCAGTCCCCTAATCATCCTGGTTGGTCTTCCCTGTACTTTTTCTAGATCTTTTTTATAGTTATTTCCCAATATCTGGCTCTTTTCTCTTGTCCTTTGGGTGGCCACAGTATTTCAGCTTCAGCTTCAGTATCTGTCCTTCTAAAAGGACAATCAGGATTGATCTGGCATTGACTGATTTGATCTAACAGTCCAAGGGACTCTCAAGAGTCTGTTTTCAGCCTGGCTGGGAGATGAATAGTTGTCTGCCACATCCATTCATCTCCGCCCCCTGCCTTTTATCCCCAGAGCTAGGGTGGGGCCTTGCTAGCAGCTGTGGCTCTTCCGTCCCAAGGATCGGCCCACAGATTTCCACTGCTCTCCTCTCTTCTGCAGATCCACTCATCAGGCACTGGACCCAGCTGTTCCTCCTCTTCCTCATCAGCCACCTCCAGACCTGGGGGCTGTTGACTTTCCAACTGAGGGCTGACGGATGGCGCAGTCTCTGCCCC